TAGGGAAATATCAAGAGGGAAGAAACTAAAAACTACACTAAGTTTAATTTCTAAAAAAAGCTTTTTCATGAAAACAAACCACTGTTGCTGCGCAGCAGATGAAATAATCTGTTTACAAATATTCGGTAAGAAGAAACTAGTACTTGGCATTCAGTAGGTATTCCAGACATTACAACACAGCAGAGCAAAACAGGAAAGAGTTAGCAAAGTGTTTGTGTATTTATTTTCAATGTTTCACTTCACATTTCAAAAAGCGGAGTACAAACCTATGGGAATAGTGATATTGCTGTGCTCGAGGTTATAGAACATCTTAAAAAAGACAGAGAAACACCCTAAGAGGCTGCAAAGCATAAACAATATTTGACTGATAATTTATGGATATGCTTAAAATTGGTAAATAACGTCTATTTTTATACAAGCTATAGATTCCTTTTCCTAACCACTCAAAAGGCTGAAAGGTTACTTCATTTACTGCTTTATTCTGAGGAACAAACATCACACACGAGAAATACTCGTAGCTCACAATGACATGAGAGCTAGCGTGACCTTTTCTATGAGAGAAAAAAACTAATCAGGATTGAGTATATGGGATATTGAAAGAAAATGCAGTAGTCTCTTAAAGGAGCATGTTTGATATCATTTGATTTCTTAGAATTTGTTGGACTGATAAATAGCTGGCCCAAACAAGAACATCCTGGTAGTGATGGACTATGCAACTCCAGTCAGAAGCAACAGACAGTATCAGACAATTTAAGCATTTTTTGGTCTTTTTACTGCATTACGTTATATATAAAACAAAGCACAACATAAATGAGATTTTTTTTTCAGACAGAATGAAGTAAACTTGGCCATACCTGGAGGAAACTTATCAGCAAAAAGGAAGCACTTAATGCAGGTCAAATTTATTGAAGGTGGCAAGTTGTTTGGAAATTTTTCTACAAAGAATTCAAGAACCAATATATAGGAAGAAAATTAAACTTCCTCTATACTCTGCTTTCTGTTTTGAAATTTTACTCTCTGATGTTATTTAGTAGTTTTGAGGTGCTAAATGGGAAATTCATTTTTCTTACTGGTGGCTACATATCAAAGTGCAGCTATTGCAGCAAAGGCCAAAGCAAGAATATACGGTCAAAATAGCTTTTGTTAGCTCATCTATAGTTTTTCTGTCTGCTATTTTTTTTCTAGACTCTCCACCCATGGAATTTTAACAGGCTGCATTCATGTTCAACAGCAACCATAAAATAATATCTTGTTTATAGTATCAACAATTTACAAGTGTCAGAGAACACAGGAAGTGATAATTGCAAATTATTACAAATGCAAGACTGATGATTTCAGTTGCTTTGGGTTATGATAGAAGTGCTGAAAAATGTTTCAGCTTTAGAAAAATTGCTGAAAAGTTGTCTTCTGCACAACCATTCTAGAACATTATTAACCTCTACAGTTAGTGGATTTTTACAAGTTTGTTTAGGTTTTTTTAGACAGTAGCACACTGGACACTTTTGTCTCGCTCTGGTTTGTCTGTTTGACTCAGCTAATCAGCATATTCCACACAGTTCAGCATTTACAGAACACTGTTACCAGCTGGTTTTACGCTCTGAGAAACAGACTTAACAGCTAAACCTGTCCTTTTGAAGGGCTGTGTGATAGCTGCAATGATCCGGAACTTTCATGTACATCAATAGCACTTGCATCCACGTAGTCTGTTAAATATGCAGTATGGAAGTATCTCGGTGTAATTACATTGGAGCAAATACTTTTGATTAACTGAATAGAAAACAGAGAAGAAACACTGCGTACCTGGGCACTCACAGCCTCCACCTTTGGCTCTGTTTGCCACAGCTGCTGCGTAAGATCGCGCATCTAAGATCAAAAGCTTCTGAGGCTGTATTGCCAAACTCTCCGCTCCTGAAGCATTAGAGATTGAAGAATCTGGGGAAGAGGATTGAATCTGTTACAGTACATGTAAGAGATTAAGCTTTTATATAAAAGCTCTGCCCTTTACAGAAAGAAAACAGTGACAAACTTACCAAATTCCACATCAGAGAGGTCCCCTCCATTGGAGAAATCTCTGGAACAATTTCCATTCATTAATTTGTTACTGTTGGACCTCGAATCTGAGGCACAGGCTTTGGCTACAGACTGGACAAGGTGTTCATCGTCTGCATTCCTCCAGCCCCACCAACTGACCTCGGGCTGTCCACAGCGGGAAATAACTGCTCCGTTGCTCTGGTGCCTGAAAAAGAAAAGAATAAAAAGAACAGCCATGCATAACTTGAAGAATCAGGATGAAAAAACACAGGAGAGGATGAAAAAATGAAATGGTGCACTCCAGTAGTTTCATTCCTGTTGGGGACCTCTCTGCCGTTCAGCAGTTATCCTCAACCTGTGATTCAGCAGCAATGTATTCCACGTGCTTCCCTTCAAAATGCTGACTGTAGCCATACAGTCGCTGAAAGGTAAAAGCCAAAGCTGAGGTCAGTAAGAGAAAAAAAACATTTTCTTGCTCAATATTGTTGCCTGTTGGCCAGTGAAAGCTGGGGAACATTTTGGAACAGCAGACAAGGCATTGAAGAGGTGGATAGCTGGGTCTACTGCTGTTAATACCAGAGTAAATAGGAAAGTTCAACTGAACTCATGCTATTTTTAGAGCTAGAAGACAGGAGTAAAACCACAGATTCACTTTTTGATGATATTTTTAAAAATCAAAACACACCAGTAATTAAATCTGAAGAACATTACAATTCTGGTAGGAAACACTGGCAGAATTTGGCACGCCTTCTGATGTTGTCATCTAACAGTAACCCAAAACCTTACTCCTGTACGCAGATGGTATCCATTTCTAGGTACCACCCGTGAATGACAGGAGGCAGTTCTTCAGCACTGCAGAACCGTACCTAGAACCAGCAGTGTATGGTAGGAATTGTTTCACTAGCCAAAACGAAGAGAACCTTGCGGATCTCAGGATGCCAAACATCCACTCGCTCTGAAGTTCGGTGTTAGTGTCTGCTGGAAAGGAGCAGCTCTGCCATCCATCCCCTTTTCGGCTGCTTCTCCATCCCTCTTCCTGACCCTCTCGGGGAAGTGTTTCATCTCCTGCCTCTCAAACACCATCGTATCCAGCAGAAAAGCACCAAGAAGCTGATGAAATGCAACAGTAGCTCTTATGTGTAAGCACCAGTGTGGTGCCGGGCTGGTAAATAAAGTCCATAAGCAAGTAAATTTTGCTACAGACACCTAAGTAGCACTGAAAAAGGAAGTGTCGTTTATTAACAGAATATTTTTCTATTAAAATGTGATATAAACTGCAAGCACTCTATATACTGATAAAACTTCAGAGGACTGGCAAATGGAGGACAGAGATGAGTCTATTAAAAAAATGTCAGGGATAACTGAAGAATGACCTAACTTGACCGTAGCTATCTTCTGGGCAGTGACATTAAAAAAAAAAACCACCAGATTTTTTTTTTCTCAAATGTTTGAAGAGTTAGTATTTTCTTGAATTTGACCTAGTTCCTTGTACTACACAAAGAATAGATTTGAAATAATTAAAACTTATCCAACCATTGCAAACATACTCTGAAAAAGATTTAAAAACTCTCCCCTACAATCTATTATAAAAAGAGCACTGAAACATATTATGACTGTAATTTCCCTTACTGCCTCCATGCAGGCACATCCCACTGCTGCCAACTGAAATGTCATTCCCCAGTCACTGAAGTGTTTACATCTGGCATTAACAACCTTCTCCTTGACCTTCACTAGCGGTGCCCCGAATTCAGAGGCCCTCAGCCAGGGCAGGAAAGGAAGCCCAGCCGTCGGCATGCAGAGCTGCAGGTGGAGCAGCCAAAGCAGAGGAGAGATGCAACTTCTCTCCGGTCACACAGCCAGTCAACAATGCTGAGGAACAGGACACCTAGAAAAGTTTACTCCCTGCCTCCTGTCCCATCTGAAAAATCCTACCACTTATCTACACACTGCTCTTCTCTCTTGTATACATCCCTTAAAGCACAGGTGCCTCTAGGCAAGGCTGTTCTTGCTCAGGAGTCCCACCAGAACCCCATATTTATAAATTACACACATGCCAGTTACAGTTCCTAAGTGTTATGATGCAGCAAAGGATTTTAGAGTCTTCCTGCAAACAAACAGAATCCCAGACTGGTTGGGGTTGGGAGGGACCTCTGGAGATCACCTAGCCCAACCCCCTGCCAAAGCAGGATCACCCAGAGCAGGTGGCACAGGATGGTGTCCAGGCGGGGTTGGAATCTCTCCAGAGAAGGAGAATCCACAACCTCTCTGGGCAGCCTGTCCCAGGGCTCCGTCACCCGCAGAGGGAAGAAGTTTTTCCTCGTGTTGAGATGGAACTTCCCGTGTTCCAGTTTGTGCCCGTTGCCCCTTGTCCTGTCACTGGGCACCACTGAGCAGAGTCTGGCCCCATCCTCTAGACACCCACCCTTTAGATATTGATAAGCCTTGATCAGATCCCCTCTCAGTCTTCTCCAGACTAACCAGCCCCAGCTCTCTCAGCCTTTCCTCATCCAAGAGATGCTCCAGTCCCCTCATCATCTTTGTGGGGTCTCGGCTGGGGTCTCGGCTTCATGTCAACGGAGAGTCGTTTAATTCCCTCAAATACGGCAACTGCGCAGAACGGCGAGGGTTAGCTGAATCTTTAAGCAAATTTAAACAGTTGAAGAAAGCCCACCCAAACCTATAGATTTTAACTTTTTCCCCTCTCACCACTCTAACAAATGTTTACAGAGGTGTGACAAAGTGGTTTATAATTTGTTGTCCAAGGTGTCAAGCCCACGGCAGGCACTGAGCAGCCCCACCTCTGCAGAGCGACCGCGGGGCACAGCAGCCGGCCACAGCAGCTGCCTCATGCTGCTCGTTCAAAAGCAACCCTGATGGGGTTAAGGCTCCCTGTTGCAAAAAAACTTATAGGTTATGATACGGTATTTTAAGTATTTTTCATAGCTCTTTTGTAATTGTTTTGCATAAAATTCCTCCTCAGAGGAAGCAACTGACACACTGCATTAGTCGAACCCAAGAAAAAGCAATCTGAACATCACAGCACTTAGACCAGGTGCTGGCTGCAAAGGAAAATGTATTTCTGCCTTCCAGAAACAGCTCTATTGACATCAAATTAGTTCAGCAAAAAATACGTGCCAATCACTTGAAAGGCCACCTAGTTCCCTGCTACGCTCGCACAAATGACAAAAGAAAATAAACCATCATTATACATGTAAGAAATCTATTTTCAACACTCTGATAAGCTCATTTATTTTTCCATATGTTCTCCCAGATTTCATTACTACCTGCCTGCAGAGTCATTTTCATAGGTTCATAAACAGTTATACTTTCATCTCCAGGTTCTTGCCTCCCATTTATTCCACAAATAATAAAAAATCATTAGGCCAAAAGTTGAGTTCATTGATAGCTGTGAAGCCCTGACACTCCTAAGCCTGCACAAATATGCAACGTTCAGATGTACCAGCAGAAATCAGCAAAGAATTCTATTTACGGTAATGTTGGAGGTCTGAGCAATCACACTCATTCCAACCAGACTGCCCAGGGGAACAAAAAATAGCAAATAGTTTAAGTGTGATTCTGAGGTCCCTAGAGATAGAGAGCTGGGGATAAGACAGTGTCAGTCAGATCTCAGTAACCAAAAAAAAGATGAAAAAAAATCAAAGCAAACCCTCCACTGCAAATTTACTAACCCTGTAGAGACAAAGCAACATGCAGCCTCCCTACAGAAACTAAAGAGTAAATCACCATTAGATAACTATAAAGCCCTTTATAAAGCACTGTATAACTGTATGATGTATGGGACACCTCTGCATATGCTTCATCTTCCTTGTGTTCAATCAGCCGTTTGAGCACAACAATAAATCCACCAAGTCCTTGTAACTAGAGAGAGGACTAATGAAGGTTTGAATAGCTCCTTCCATAGCTTTACTTAACTACTAGCACTTGCAACTGGAAAAAAAAAAAATCATTGCTACAATTCACGAATATGATTCAGCAAGTACAGTACACAGCAATTTTCTGTTTGCCTTGGCTTCCTGTGTGGGCAGAAATGCTGCCTGCATGGATAATCACCTCCAGCAGCAGGTGAGACAAAAAGACACCTTCGACGCAGCTAATTTCACAGCTAATTTATAGAATGTATCAAGTCCTCTCATCTATCCACAAAGTCCAAGAAGGCTTCTCCCTACCATTGATTTTCTGGGACCAAAAAAAAGAGACGCTACAAAAACCGTGTTATAAACCAGATTTTTCTACATAAATACGTGCTGAGATTTTCAAAAATTATAAACACAGAGAAAAACTGCAGAACCTGAGTGTGAGATTTGTCTACAAAGCAGTTAATAAAATAGAAGTGCCACTCCTGACAGCCCAGTCTGAACCGAGTATTTTTGAATAGTTTGCCTCTGAATTCAGCCCACCCTGCTTTTTGGCCTGTGCATACTGTCATAGCTCTTGAGTGCTTTACAAGAACAGACAAGGAGGGTTTTGGAGCCAAGTCTCTCTGGTCTCTCTCTGTCCTGGTGTTCAGAAAAGTATGAGACGGGTTATTGGACAAATTTTAAAATTATATCATTTTTAGGTCTTTTTTCGCTGAGGTAAAGCAAAAAAAATAGGTTTTTTTAAAAATGTGATCAATAATTAAACTAATAGTCCCAAAATCATCCTCAACAGATAAAAAATGCTGAATGAGCTTTCATCCCTTACTCCTCCAAAAGTAAGGAAAAAAGCTATTTGCATGGTAACCTATATAGAGAGAAAACTATACATGGATTTCCAATCACACGCAACATCAAACACTAGCGGGTGTGAGTTCTATTAGAGCACAGAATGATGAACTGCATGTCTTGAAAAAATCTATTACTAAATGTCAAGATAAGGAAAAAAAGAAATCAAAAAAGAAAACCTTTTCTCTCACTGATTTTAAGATTACAAATGAAAAACTATGTGGTAATTTAACATACATGGTCTCATCAGAACTGCAGAAAATTGAATGCCAAGGATTAAACAATTTCAGTCTATGAGGTCTTTGGAACATATAAATCACCTTAAGTCTTAAAAATTTGCCATATGCTGGAAAGCAATTTTTGCCCCTCGCAGAGCTGAACAGAGGATGGAGCAATTCTTCAACATTCAGAAGGAGACTATGCTAACCCCTTTATTATTTGGAAGAAAACAGAGAAAAGATAGGAGGATTTAAAGATATTGGTCTGCTGCCACAAGCTAATTTGTTCTCTTTTCATGGAATAAGAACTCTTAAGCTAGATAAATAATGTTTTGTGGCCTACTCTTTACTCTTGTACACTTGCTCCTCCGACTCAGGCCATATGAATTTGTCAGCTTTATAGCTCTCTAAATTTAGCTTGCCACTCAGAGAACAGCTTTTCCTTTCTATTCAGAAGGAATGGGTGGCTGGGCAGACTTAATGGAATTATCAGTATTCATTATCTTTTTAATCCCTTTGTCATCTAATTTTTTAAAGAGATTTTAAACATTTATGGGAGGATAACTACACCAGGAAAGTGGCCAAGGTATTAAATGACAGCTTCCAGAATATTTGGAAAAAAAAAAAAAAGATGCTGAAATATATTTCGACCTAAAGAAGCTGCCAAAAACCAGTATCTCAGAAAGGCAATTTTGTTATGAAGAGTTGCTGGACTCAAGGAATAGACTGTCTTATTAAAACTTATCTAAAATATGTAGCTAGGGCTAACATGTACATTCTTTTGTAATTTGAGTTTTATACATCCCTTAAATAATTTTGAGATTTGTCCTTGTTTATACTGCACTCTGAGTATTAGCCAGATGAGAATTAGAGAAAAACCAAATGAGTACCTAGCCAGCGATGCCATTTATCAGTTCTTCAGCTGCACTGATGTCTTCATCTCACATTTTTTCATTTTCATATTAAAAAAATAAAATCAATCTTAACTGAGGTGATTGCCCTAGGAACAACTTGCAGGAGATGCAAATACTGAGTGCTCCCACTTTATGTGTTGGGAATTAAAAGATCCAAACCATCATTCCCCCTCGGAGTAAATGTGTAGTAAATCTGCCTTACCTCATTTATGGCTTGACAAGGGCCAATACTGTCTCACACATTCTTGCAATTTTGAATAGGTATAAAACAAGACATATATAAAAATAGCAAATGTAGAGACCCCAGGCGATCAGCCCTAACAGGTCATTCTTCCCTGTCAGTTAAATACAGGTCTGAATGTTTTCCTACGCAAGGGGTCCCCTCTCATCCTCGTTTGAGAGCTAAACCCTTAGGGTGCTTCCTGTTTTCTTCCAGGGTCCTCTTCTCCTTGTCATCCACACTAAACCACTTCTGGGATCCTTCTGGAGCGGAACACAGGACCTCAGCCCAGAGTCCCAGGGCAGATCAGCTTGGGTACCGCTCCACTCCTTGCTGCCTCCTCCCAGCCTAGTTCTCCAGCTCGACACTAGCAGGTCCCAGGCCTTCAAGCAGCATCCTTCCACATCCTGTTATACACGCAGAACTAGAGCAAGATGCCAGCCAGACCTCTCTTTACTTGGAATAAATTATAAAAATAGTTTGCAAATACCTTAACCAGTTTTGTTAAAGTCTGTCAGGCTCCGTGAGGGCACATTTGGGGCCCAGAGGAGCCTGAACACCTTTCATTACAAGTCACAATTCCCAGTTACGACTTCTTTCAGCTTTTATTTGCTAGAAGACCCCATTTACAGCCTGGTGAAAGCTGTTTCACTGCGAGAGCCTCACCTGTACACAACGGCAGGGATACGTTTCCAGGACCGAAAGCTTGCCACACTCTCTAGCTCTTTATCCGTGATCCAGGCAGGCACTATGATTTCCTGGGGGTAACTACCACAGAGCCTGTGAGAAAGGTGGTGCAAAGGGTTGAACAGAGCAGTTACACACTTCCCAGACAACACACACAAATAAGCACTATAAGCAACCTGACAGCTGTTCATCTCAAACTGCAATTTTAATAATTCCTGTTTCATTGTATGTTAATAAACTCCTTTGCATATACAAAAAGCACTGTGAACATCGAGGTGCATAAATGTGTTTCAGAATTAGAAGATCCAAGCTGGTGTTTTCACAGGAAATTTGCATATAGGTGATTTTTAATCCCAGCTGCTGAAATAAATTGGACCACAGAAAACAAATTCCACATCTCTCCAGGCTAAAGAATAAGCCACATGTGGAAAATGTACCTTAGCTCACCAGCTCTTGCTCAAGGCAGGAATCTGAGTGTACTGGTTTATGTTTGACAGGCTAACTGGGACCTTCTATTAGCTGCACCTCCTACTCCACAATTTAACTACTAAAGCCATGACTGCCAATGAGAACAGTGCAAGCAGTCAGGGGACCACAATATATTGCTGAATCATAAACTAGTTCATCCCTTCTCCATCCCCTTAAAGAGATGCATTTACTGCACAAGGACAGAGACGAACATGTGTCTAAGACTGCTCTATTCAGAAAAATGTATCAATCACCCTGAAAAAATGCCCATTTCTCAAGTGCTGGCCACAAAAAGGAAAGGAGTAGTTTGTGCCATTCTGCTTCCGTATGACATATGAAGTTTTTTTCATTTTTGTTTAGTATTAAATACATAAGGGATAGCTAGTTTTTCTTCCCTAGATTTTTAGAGCCCAAGACAGAGATTATTCCTGCAGTGACACCAGCTAGCAACTGTAAGGCATTATCCGGCAAAGACAGAGCAACGACACACATTTCATCACTAAGTGTTCCTGCTGGTTTTGCTCTGAATTGGATTAGGGATCAGCCAGTACACTCTGTCCTACCAACCCAGGACGGAGGAACACCTTTCCCTGCTCCAGCAGCAAGAGAGGAGGACATTTGTCTCTACTTTCAGGACCAGAGAAAGTGTTTTGTCTTATTTTCAGGGTCTCCAAGCTTAACTCTTCCAAACCAACTTTTTTTTTTTCTTTTATAAATACAAGTCTTTGTCATAAGTTAGAGAATAAGACACAATAAAAAAATGCTTTTTACAAGTTCAAACTCTATTCTTTGCTCACTTAAGGCTGCCCTTTCTTCCATTAGAATGCTTATTCTCTAAGTCCTTCAGCAAGCACATCAAAATCTGGTATTTCTAAGTCTACAAAAATTGTAGCAGCTAATAAAATATTAAATACTACTTTAAAAGCAGATTTTTTCTATAGAACAACAAAAAATCATAATTCTAATTGTCCCTTATTAGGAACTGTAGAACTTGGAAAAAGTTCCAGTAATCTGCTGTAACAGAATTGGTGTTTTGAGATGCCATTTGGCTGTGAATCAGCAGCCCACATAACTTACTTGTACTTCTCATTGATGTTGGAAATCCTCCAGGCATTGTTCATATCAAAACCCATCCGCTCTACTTCATTTTTAAACCTTGAAGTTACATGTTCTCCTGGGTATCAAAAGCAGAGAGAGAAAATAAATGTGAAATATGAAGTAAGACTCCTACCTTTCAAAATAGTTAGAGAAAAACCCCGCTGCATTCATATTTATTAAAAACTGAGAAGAGAACCATCCACATTTCACATGCCTATTTTGAAAAAATCCGTACTGGGAGAACCACAGCTTGTACCGATGGCTCTCCCTGGTCAACCTCTCCAGAAATGCCAAGTCCATGAAGGACATTTTCTCTGAAGTGACGAGCTTCTGTAAATTCATATAAGAAACAATAACACTGCAGACAGGAACCAAGCACATCAGCAAAAGCAATTTAGATCTGTCAGGAAAACGCTAGTAGTTTTTCTTCTTCCAAATGTCAGAAGAATTTTTTATCAATGAGAAGAATGTGAAGCTCTGGTCTGAGATGTGAAGGGGTAATATATGGGATGCAATCTGGAAATTGGGCAATCTCCATTTAGTATGCAATTTCAGCAGCAGACTTCCTGTACGACTGTAGGCAAGCCCTGTCATTTAACCTGCCTCTCAGTTTTCCATCTGTAAAGTGGAAGTTATTACTCCATGAGTCATGTGGAGATATGAAGTTAAAATGCATAAATGATTGTTTGACACAAATAGCAGTCACAAGATGCTCACAAATTCCTGTATTAATGTATTAAAGGAACTGGAATGAGCTCCATTTATTACCTACACACTTTTTTAGAAGTATCAAAATACAATTGAAAAATACAGAATGGCAACAAAGAGCAATTATTCTGATAGACAGAAAATCTAGAGAATTAGAAGGTATTCAATCAAAATGTACAAGAGAATAACATATAAAATTTCCAGGTTCACAGAGCTAAGAAGTGTGATAAATTTCATGAACATGTGAGCACCACTCAATAAAATGGTTCTGAAAGTCTGTCCATTGCTCGTCTCTTTAAATTACTGTATCATTAAATCATGAGGCAGAGTACCACCCAACAGGAGGAAAAAATCTGTTGAAAAATTAATGCTGTAAGTATTACAGCTTTCCATTTTATATTTCAGAATACCCTCAAAGTCTTTAAATACCTGAGATATATGTAGATATTTATCTCAAAGATGTAAATGTACATGTCTGAAAATTTTATGTGATGTTACAGAACAATTAAATATAGAGAATTAGGTAAATTAAGAATAAAGATAGCAGCCTAACTATAGGAATTTAACTGTGAAAGAAAAGCTACAGTGCTATTCTTTCCCACAGGTCAGATCAGACACTGAAAATGGTACTTCGCAAATTGAGACATGCTTTACAATACAGACAATATGCAAAAGATCTGCATAATGACGTTATTTGATTTAAGTTTCTGGAAAGGTAAAATGTGAGAATGACACTGTGCAAATGGAGAATATCCACTCCTCAAGGCAGATGGCAGTAAAACCTATGGAGCTGCCGACCGTCATCACTTATTCCCTTTACAGCATGCCACTGGTACAACAGTACCATAAAAAAGAAATAGTTCTGCCTTTTCTGCAGAAGGCTCGTCTCAGCATCGCACACGCACCGCAGTTCTGCTTTACCTTCCCTATCGCCAGATCAATTAGGCTGGAGTTTGCCAACGACTTCCCGCTTCTCACATGAACTCTGCATAAGCTTGAATTTATTATCTTCCAGCCACTGACTCAAACAGATCAGCTGCTTCAGTCCCTGGTTTACAAAAGCTGGATGGCTCCGCAGAGATGGCAGCTCTGGGAGGAGCCCTTTCATCCTTTGTCAAGGGCAGAGGTGACACAGGGACAACACAATCCAGCCAGACAACCACCTCTGTCGTGTTCTTCCTTAGCAAGAATTTTTAAAAAAAAAAACCCTCAACATTTTATAGAAATAGCAGCATGCTCTTGCAGCACTGAGGACAGACTTCATTATCAGCTGCGGTGAGGAACAGTCATTCGAAGTTGTGATACGTGCTTAAGGATTTTTCTGGATAGCAAGTGAGAAGACTGGAAATATCCCCAATCATCACTGCTGCACACTACTAGTGGGTTTTAAGATAAACACATAAAACTACATGAAAATGAAATATTCTGTTTGATTTCTCCCTCTAATTTTTCAGCTACTGTTCACATCATGAAATCATAGGTTTTCCTCTGAGAAATAAAACCCTAGCCTTAGCACTTGATCCATCCCCCCTGGACTGTTGGTATTTTAAGAGGCACTTTGAGCCAAGACAGGTAATATTTTCAAAGCATCCCAATCAAATCTCAAAATCAGAGCAAAAGCAAGCTATATGTTTTGTGGACTTGGGCCTTTTGACTATAAAAGCTGATCCTGTGAGCCACAGTTCAAATCTCCTATTACACATACATTGATAACAATTTCCCGCCCCCCTGGAAGTTAACAATTAGATTTTGAAGCAATTTCCTATTTTTGTCCATATCTACCAAATATTGGGGTAAAAAAATGAATTACAGTATATTTGGATTGACTTCTTCAATTACATTCCCATAGATTTATTTAAACTATAATTCAGTTTTTAAAAGGAGACTATCTACCACTAGAAACAAGCAAGCTACAGGGAAGAAAAAGTTACTACATTAAAGAAAATTATTTGATTGACCGATCTACATGAAAAAAATATGATTGCTAAAAGTTAATAAAAAGGTAAATGCTGCTTCTTATCCCAACCTAGGGTTAGGTTGAAACTCATCTGTTTCAGCAAGGAAAAGGACTACAAGGAGACTTAGGAAGCCATGTACACGTCTGCTGCCTTCTGAATTTAGTTAGGAGAGAAAGACCTGAGTTTAACAAAAATCAGAGGATTTTTTTGCCTTTTTTCAGTAACTGCTAATGTAAAGGGTGCAAAGTGCAGGAACAGGAACCAGAACCAAGGAGCACCTCCCTCTTGTTGACTGCTCTTCCCCGGGCTCCATGGAGATTAGTCTTTGCTCAATCCCAGACCAGGTTCAGTAGTAAGGACTGAATCCCACTAACATTCCTCTCCCTTAACAAAACCATGACAACTGACACACTTCTCAGATACATGAATTGTGAGCAGAGAGCCTCAGACCTGAGGCAGCCTGGAACTCAGATCTCCCATATTCAAACAAGTGCTATAACCACCAGCACCATCATTTTGGCTTTTATTTACTTGTGGGCGTCCAAAACTGTCCAGGAAGGATGGTATTTCACTAAAATAGGTTGCTGTCTTGCTGCTGTGAATGAACCTCTGGAGCAGCTCGAGGACTTCCTTCTCCTTCACCTCCCACTCCTCAACACCCATGTTGAAGCCCACTGTTCAGGGCAATTACAAAAAATGTGGGCACAATCAATACAAGACATTTTAGAATCAAAGTTGCTGCCATGGTGAACAAAATGTTATTAGTAAGCATTATACATGACTGACTAAATCAAATCCACCACAATAATTTCCCCAGGACATTCAGGTACTGCTTTGCATATCGATCTCAAAGCAGCTATGGCAGGAGCTCCTTTGTTCAGACAGAACAAAACTCTGACTGTGCGGCAGACAGACATGCAACGTGAAGGATACTGTATCTATATAATTACCATATAGTCAGTGAAGAAGCACAAGAACTTACGTACATAAAAAAGTCCATATTGGAATTTTTCAGGTTCCATTTACAACAGCATAGACTGAATTTGTTTATAACTTTCTTTGAACGTTCTGGATTTCAAATAGGCAGTTAGGAGTCAAAGTATTTGTGACGATCCCCACACTGTTTCCACATACCTGGCCGACACAAATCCCCGTGCTGTTCCTTTTCACTAGCATATACCTCCATACACCAAGCGTGATAGGCAAATGAGAAAAGGTCTTCTATCTTCGAAGGAGGGCGGATGGCATTGTTCAGTCGCTTAAGCCAATCTTGACACTGCTCAAAGGTAGAAAACTGACACCTGTCCCAGAAACAAATATTTATCTATTAATTTTCAGTAAAAGATGCCAGACTAAGATCTGACAGGCTGACTATGAACCCCTCCATGAAAGCAAAAGCAAGAACAAACATCTTACTTATTTAGTTCTGCTTCTATGTGCATTCTAACAGATTTTAAAAATGAAACCTTTGGATATTAGTGAAGAAATACACACTTATGAAGCCAAAATAAAATGTAGACAGGAAAGCAATGTTCTGTGATTGTGAGTAAACCAGCAGTATGCCCTACCAGTCATGAATGAGGGAGATCTTTATGCACACGTTTACTATAAAACCAAGGACAGTATCACGGAGTGAAGCGTCATTCCAAGACAGGAATGTGTTGCAGCACCCAGCTGGCTGGCAGTCTCTGATGGAAACTCACAAAACTATCACATATGTTAAAATCTATGCATCGTATTCCCATAAACAACAACAGTTTTCATCAGACACAGAGGAAATATCCATTTGATTAATATACTTAATTTAAGAATAATGAGGACAAACTCCAGTATCTGAAATCTTCTATTATTCCCCTATCTCAGATGCTAAGATTCTCTTTCCTGGCCTTGGTGGGAAGCACAATGTTTTTGAAACTGAGCCTAACATTACAGACTAACAACAACTGCCAAGAATATTCCCTGCACAGGAGAAAATAATCAAAGCAGTATATGAAAATTACATTAGCTTTTCAAAGAGGATTCCTGGGCCCTTTAGAATAAAAGGGTGGAAATAAGATTAGTGATTTATTTTGCTCTAACAGATTTCTTCAAGATTTTATAGTTATAAAACATTCACCAAGTATTTACATTCAGCTCAGTCTGCATTCTACTGCATTCATGGTTAGTGAATGCATCTGCATTCTCTAAGGGCAGGATTTATCACCCCTACCTGCAAATATCTAAAAGTCAGTCAGTGGAAGGAAAAAGACACAGCCAACTCGGGCTGTGTTATGAAACGCATCTAAAACAGCCATGAGAAACTGCAGCCTGGAAGTGTTTATTTCCCATCACTGACCATAAAGCAAGCCGAGACTACCAGCTCAGACTGGATAATTCTCTATTAAATATCTATATTCAGACAAGATACATCTCACTCTAAAGATCCATTTTCATTCTAAATTCTTTTAACATTAGTGTTGCAAATAAGTACTATCTTCACTTGAGCCCTGATATTCAAAATAAACTATTTTGGTAATGAAAAAGAACATGAACATGTTCTAAGTCTGGTATCTCAGCCCCATACTTCATCACCTTCCAAGGGCCAGTGTCACCGAGTACTCATTCTTGAAAATGGAATTTGAAGGTAAATTCGTAAGGAAGAGCATAAATACAAATAATTTGTATTCATTCTACAATTGAAGAGAAATAACAAATTAACATAGAGAGGAAGGGTGACTTTTTTAAATGTCAAGAGCTACAAGTTAAGAGGAAGTTAAATATTTAATTCAAATTAAACTAAACATTACTTCTAAAGTAAAATCAGTCCTCATCAAAATACAGCATTTCAGGAAGCAGCTGGCCTGTTAAACATTCTGAGTGACTGGGGCTCATTTCATTATACAAAAGGTACTGCCAGCAAACATTTAATCAAAAAGAAATGTTCTTTTCTTGTTAATTAAAGTTTATAGATCAAAATTAATTTCTGCAGAAGAAAAGTAGGAAATAGCTGTAGCTCAGGCTCAGCAGCTCAGGGGCAGACTCTGAAGAAGGACAGACATAAATAAATACTCCCTTTGAGATGATGCTATCTGCTTTCCTGGGTTACAGAGTGGGTTTTGCAGACCTGGCTTTACTCTATTCCCTCATTTGCTTTTCCAACAGACTACTATGTCTGAAGGATAGCTACTGTTCCCTCGCCACAGCTCTCAAAATCACAGGGTGGTTGACATTGCAGGTTCCAGGCAGAATCGCACAAACCCACACCTTAACCCTCCAAACCCCAAATCTTGATTAAATGCTTTTCCAAGAAGTGTGTGTTGGGTCCATCTAGTTTTATATCTTATACCTGAAGCAATACATTATATCTGATTACAGGGCAGGGAAAACACAGTGAGACTAAAATTAGTTTCAGGATAAAAATCAGATTAGCTACTTAGGCTCAGACCAAGGTTTTCTGCTATTCCGTATTGTAACAAGCAAAAGACCATCTTACTACCGTCCTCTTTTCAAAAATGCCCAGCTATCATACACAGAAACAGACAAAAACTTTTTTTTGGGGAAAGCAAAAGGACTAAGAAAGAAAAAAACATTTCCTTAGAATGTCACAGCTGTCCACAGCACATGGAAAGCAAAGTTACGCCCAACTCAACATCCAGCCTATCCATACCTTATAACCTTGCAGTCTTTGCAAGTCAAATGAAGTTGAAATATATCACGGCACTCGACGCTTTCTATAAGCTGCAATGGAACCTGCAATTAAAAAGATTATATAATTTTATTTCCAACAGCACTAACACTGTAATTTTTTTTGCATATCTTAGAAGGACTTATTATAGGACTAGAAAGAGAGAGAGAAAAACAAAACTAAGTATAACTAGTTCAATAGCTGAAGTATGGTACCATATATCAGTAAATTTTCTAGCTCCATTGCTGTACAGTCCAAAACCCTTCAGGGATTGCATGAAAACAGCTGAGAAGATGGCAGCACTGGTGACAAATGGCAGGGACAAAGAGCAGCAGAAACCCACAAGCTTTTCTCTCATGGAAGCTGCTTTCCTTCTCTCTTCTAGGTCCAAGTTTAGGGATCTAAGGAGTATCATTTTAGCTCTTGGTGTCAAAATTGAACTGCTAAGCCAGATTCCCCTTAAGAGACTGCTGCAGTCTAGATGCTTGTTATATGAAAATATCCCATATTTCCTCTTCAGGGAAAAAATCATTTGGCCTGTGGAAATCAATACTTGTGATCGCAGCAGCCACATTTAGAGTCATAAAGCTGAATCATTCATTTTTAAAGGTGCAGGTATATGCACTCGCAACATTTTATAGAACATGTAGATAGCAGAAGCTTGATGAGGCAAAACATAGAGCACGTGTAAGTACCTTTAGAGAGGAGAAGAGACCGCAGGATGAAAATATTAGTTTTCATTAATATTTTTGGACTTTCACCTGAGACAGGCAAGTGTACATAGTTGAATACTAACTTTTAAGACAATCTCATACATAACTGTCTCAATTCCAAACACAGAATTTAGCTAATGCCTAATAATAAACATGAATTGTAAAATTGATTGGAATTGTTATTCGATTACATTGAACGCGACACAAGGCAACAAACCCTCTGCCATTGAGATCCTGCAATACAAAGGCTACCAGAGAACCACTCAAATACTCTGTTATCTTTGCCACCAGAGGAGACGATCCAGCAGTTTAAGTTCTGGCACAGGGGTTACAAGATGCGGCTGTAAGACCTTGCTCTGCCAGTGTCTTTCTACGTCACTCTGGGCAAGACCCTGAAGGTCACATCCAACCAAGGATCTGGGGCGCGAAATCAAGACGGCTTCTACTCAGGCAGCATAAAGCTTAAGAAGTACTTGATTTCAATGGAGTGAAAAAAGGAAATGGAACCAAAACCAGAAGGCAAATCAAAGAGATGTCTCAGAAATACAAACCACAAGAAAGCTCACTCTGAGCATGAAGATGGATGAAGATGAGATTCAATGGATGGACCACTCGGTGGATAA